TGACAGATGACTCGATCCCAGTCAAGAACGGCAACCCGAGTGGAGGTGGTGGTGGCAGCGATTCTGACGATGACTCGATCCCAGTCAAGAACGGCAACCCGAGTGGAGGTGGTGGTGACTGCGGCGAGACTGCTGCTGTTTACAAGCACGCAGCAGTCAAAAAGGAACTGATCAAACAGGACCGAGGAGGGTTCCATGAGACCAGTATGTAAACGACTTGGGCTACGGAAGAAAAATGTGAGCAAAGCTCGTAAGCGGAACACCCTAACTCGTCACCTCCTCTATGTAGAGAATATGTATCTCTGCAAGCCCTACGAGCGTACATAACTATAGAGCTTTCTCACTTCCACGACGGCTCCCCTAAAATGAAACCTTCCTATATTGTCATATTCAGTCGGATTGCTCCTTCGCTTAGGAGCAGGAACACCGAGACATGATTGTCGCTCATTCCATTCGGCTGCCGGCCTAGAGTGTGAACTACCACACGAAGTGTACGAAACGTGGAGCGAGAATCTCGAAAGTGCGCAATGTGTTGAAGTGAATGCAGTAAATTAAAGTGTAACCGCACGAGGTAGTAATTGTGGTCTAAAGTGTATATTGTATCTTTTTCTCTCTGGCTGTGTTCTGTGTGCTGTCGTGCTCGCCTCTTATATAGTCGCAGGCAGGGACTGTATTAATGACATAACTATCTAAGGTAAGTGTTGATACGGCAAAGGTGAGGTTGAATCAAGGAACGGTCGTTGCAACGAGTTGAAGTAGATGGTTATGATTGATTAGAGGAGGTGGGCTGCAGCTCGCGTACGAACTGAATCCCACCCCACGGCACGGGCCACGCACGTAGTCACGTGCTCGCCAGGTACGTACGGTGGCTCGAAACTAAGAGCAACCAACAGTAAGAGATACTGGTTATCCTAGACTAAGCAGTACCAGATCAACGCCACATGGCACACGTGGTCCACTTCTCCTCATAACCGCCACATCATGTGTTTGTCGCCATTTGGAGTAACGGTGTGTTTAATGCCGTAGGGAGGCACCATAATGCGATGAAGGAGGAAGAGAGAGGAAAGACTAATTTACAACGCTTTCTACCTTTTTACCTTTGACTTCTCGAGTCGTGCCTGGGAAAACCTCCTGCAGCTGCAGCACTAGCCAATGTGAGTAAGCTGCGCGGCGCAGGTGCGTGCATGTATCTGCATGTTCCGAGTGCGGACATGTTAGTCGGCAGCGATGGAGCGAGCTCACTTATGCGGCCTATAGCAGGGACAAAAGAAGCCTACAAGCCGGTTATGCATTCGACCAATGGCATTCCCCTGCACAGCACCCACTCGCTAAATGGGCAGCAACAGCGCTTAGGCAATGCCGTGCCAGAAGAGATGTGGGGATACTGGTCGGGGATTGATGTACTGTAGCAGTGGGATTGTTATGAAGAGATGGGTGGTGAGTCCAGGTGCGGAATACTCATCTACTTACAAGAACGGGCGCATGTTGACGTCGGTGCGTCGCGCTACCGGTACGGTAACTACGCGACACCTGGACCGAGCTCCAAGAACTGCCAAGATTAGCAGAACCAAAACAAACAAGCTGAGCCTGAGCCTTCACGCCTACCTATCATGAACAGCATCTAGCCCAAAATCTTTCAGCTAGTGTTAATTTGCTAGTTCAACATCTACTATATCCCTGGAATACGCCGAGATAGCTGCCGTCAACGAGCCCTGCCGAGTATCTCCTACCATTGTCGCCATGGCTGACCAGTCGCCTGATTACAAAACGCTGTTCCTCGAAGAACAATGCAGACGCAAAGCCGCGGAGCAGGCGCAGAATGAGGCAGAGCAGGCGAAGAATGAGGCAGAGCAGGCGAAGAATGAGGCAGAGCAGGCGAAGAATGAGGCGGAGCAGGCGAAGAATGAGGCCGAAGAGAAAACTCGCAAGACGACTCTTCCAGAGTTTCTCGACGCCTGTCACGATAATCTATACTCCGGTCTCACCGTCCAGACCGATGCGACCTTGTCGACGCGGGGCGACCCTGCGAATGCGAATAACAAGCTTCGACCTGAGAAGCTCCTTCTATGGAAGGATTTCCCAGCACAACAAGCAGCGATTTGGGACAAACTTATGGGGTCTGACTTCGCGTTAGAGCGACACTTCACCTCGCTGCATACGTTGAAAGAGTCTGGTGAAGCTATCCGACGGAAGATGATGAGTTCTGAGCTAGATTTGCATCTCTTCCAACGTACCACTGTAGACGACCCTGTAACGTCTATTATCGAACGATTATACGACCAAAAAATACTACGACAGGAGTTTGGACTCAAGGGTTCGATACAGTTTGAGAATCACGCCAACACCCTCAGCCCGGAAACGCAACTAGAGAGCATTAGTTCCATGACCATCTCCGGGACTCAGCGACGACGGTCACCACGCCTACAGGCCAAGGCCCAGGCCCAAGACAACTCCGTGGACGCACCTCGCGCCCAAACAGCACGATCGTCCCGTCCTCGAGCCGATCAGTTCTGCGTCTACAACACCAGCACTAAGAATACAGAGACTCGCGTAGCGGCCTTTATCACGGAATACAAACCTCCGCACAAGCTGCCACTCGGGTATATAAACGAGGGTTTGGGGGATATGGAACTCGAGGAGGTGATTCTATGTTGCGAAACGGATACTCCTCGCGACCACTTTCGCCGGCTGATGGCTGCAGTCATCACACAAGCATTTTCTTATATGGTCAAGCTTGGGGTGGAGTATGGTTGCGTGTGCACTGGCGAAGCTTTCGTCTTCCTACGCATTCCTGACGACCCTAGAACGGCTCAGTACTTCCTCTCCGTTCCGAAAGGGGACGTCGGGGACACCACAGGATGGACATCGGACTTAGACGGAACAAATCGCCTGCATCTAACAGCTGTTGCTCAGATGCTAGCTTTCACGCTTCAGGCGCTGCAGACACCGCCCCGTAGCCACAAATGGCGTGCCGACGCCGCCTCTCAACTCAATGGCTGGGAGGTTACGTATGAAGACCTGCTAGATACTATCCATGTAGAAGATGCGCCATCATCGGAGTACCGTCCACCTCGCCACAATGAGTTCCTTCGCATGTCACCTGTCCAGCTCCGGCGGAGGCATACCCCAATTAGCTCTTCAAGCTGCGCGCGACCGCAGGATCAGCACGTAGCTAGCGACGAAGAACCCGACTCCGATACTCCAAGCCGGCGGCAACCTTCACCCCCGCGCCAGCCTCGCACACACGCCGCTACCAGCAGCTCTTCGCCGAGTCAGAGTTCCCATAGAGGACAAAGTGGACAGTATTGCACTCAAAACTGCATACTAGGGTTAGTCCGAGGGGGTCCACTTGATATGTCGTGCCCAAATGTGCGAGATCATGGGGAAAGCCATCATCAGATCGATTCACCGACCTTCCTCACTCTTATACGCCGACAGCTCTCAAACGACTTAGATACTGACTGCAAGCCTGTGAGTCTGCCTGGCGCTTGCGGCGTCTTATTCCAAGTTCGGCTGAAATCGCACGGGTACATGGTAGCAGCCAAGTGCACTCCCATTGACTTCGTCCATCGTCTTCATCATGAAGCTACCGTTTATGACCTCCTCCGTCCGATCCAGGGTATACATGTACCAGTTCATCTAGGCAACATAGACCTGGAAACCCCCTATTTCTACGAGGGTATTTGTGAGCTTGTCCACATGATGTTTCTTAGTTTTGGAGGGAAGCGGATCGCCCAACACCTCACCGCCAAGAACCGGCTTTCCGTTACCCAACAAGTCGACTGCTCAGCCCAAGCTATTCACAACCTTAGTATCTTACATAAAGACCTTATGCCTCGAAACCTGTTGTGGAATGAGGAGACGGGCCGAGTGATGGTGGTTGATTTCGAGCGGGCAGAGTTCATCAAGCCACGACCTATACTAGGTACCATCTCGGCGAACAGGAAGAGGAAGAGAGTGTGCAATACAGGGTTGTCTAAACGTGGAGAAGATAGTCTTTCTATTTTTTTGCGAGAAAGAAAACGGGTAACTATTGAACTGCGTGGACTACACGAACGCCACCAAGTTCTACCTAGCCAATAATTGGACCCCACCAACTTTCTGCACCTTCACAAGCGTACAACTCAACTACCTTTTAGAGCGCTGTATAAATATTGCTGTTGTAGATTAAACAGTACCTACACTATCTTCTTGCAAGTACGTGAGTTGTGCCCAGTCTCTCTGCACCTTGTGCAGCGCGCTAGAGCCTGGCGGCTGAGGCCTGACCTTGACCTTGTTCACGCTCTATCTGATTACTGGTTAGCCTTCTGCTCATGGCCTCTGGAAGAAGCCGTATGCGGCCGCAGAAATAGCCTAGTAGAGAGACTGTGCAGCCCCATAGGTGTATACCATCTGTGGACCTATGCCTATTCGGACTTATTTTCCCTCTATTCTCCACCATAATTCTGCCGTGCGAGGGCCGCGCAGATATCTCGCAAGTTCTCATCCTCTTGATACTGCGGTCGAGGCGTCTTAAATATCTTCTCTCTCCTTTCTCCTTCCGGCCACGCAAGTCGTCTCTTCTCCACTTCATGCTTTTCGAGGGCTTCCTGACTGGTGAATGTACGGCCGTACACACAGGCAAACCTAGCTACTGAAGGCCCGATCTGCGTCAACACGGGCTCCAATTTCATAAAAGCGAAGGAAGAGACTAAGGAGCTGTCTTGTTGTTGGTTTTGAGTAAGAGACTTGTCGGCTTGTCGCCTGTGGTATAAAGAGTCGCGCTTGTGTAGTGAGAGCACTGAAGATGCGATAGTGCCTGGTACTGGCCCGAAAGCTGGGGGAATCGAAGTCGGAGGTGAATGTGGAGCTGTGAATGGCACTGAGACCGGCGTTGTGCCTTTGGGCGTATTGTACGGGCCATAAGCATAATCCTCAGCATTCTCAGCAGCCTCGGTATATCTCACTAGAACGAGCAGTACCTGCTTACTAATCACGGTCACCTCTTAGATCAGACCAGGGTTCTGGGAGTCAAGCACGAGTTGTCATCGACTTAGGTTGAGCGTCTTGCTGACTGCGCTCAGTGCTCTCATACGTACAGTCGTTGGCGATTGCGGCTCCACCCGCGCCCCTAGCACTCCACACCATCCACCGCGATTCAACTGATCGAACGGCGTTGGATCAGCAAAAAACACAACACGACATCAGACCAGAACAATACAATCGATCCCTATCATATTATTATACCATTATCCCCGTCTTTGATAACCCATCACAATCTGACAATTGGCAAAAGCGGAGAGGTGTGCTGATGGGGAGGAAATCGGGGGTCGACCTACAGTAGTACAGAAAGATTGACATCCTCGCCCGCTATAAGCTAAACGAGCATTTGTAATGACTTAGTATGTATAGAGCAGAGCCTGACCTGTGTATTAGGCAGGGCATAGAAGCTGATGTTGGCAATTTTCTGCGGCTGGAGAGGCAAAGTGGTTCCAGCGTCTCAATCCCGCCTCACGCCCCGCCTCACAGTCCCCGACTCATAGCCCCGACTCATAGCCCCGACTCACAGCCCCGACTCACAGCCCCGACTCCAAGCGCAACTCAAGCCCAGCTCGAGCCCGATTTCTGCGCGCCGGCTGCCATCATCCGTGTGAAGGTCCCAGCAATGAGTCGCGTTGTGAGAAGAGACATCGGCGGGGGTGAGTCGTCGCGGATTGGAGCTTGCAGCGTAATACAGTAGGCTGCGTTCGAGCCGTGCGCGTAGCCTGCTTTCTAACACGGCAATGCGGGGCTGCGCGATTCACAGGCAGGTCGCGCTAGCCCTTTTTCGCAGACGAGTGCGCCACACGACCCAAGACACGGCCGTCGATTCTATCGCGTGCGGAGCTGAGGCGGTTCGTTTCCAACAACGTGGTTCGGGGGTAATATTGTACAGTGGTTAGCGATTGCGGCTTCCCCCCTACACACAGCTGCGCAACGGTTCTTCACAGACCCACCTTCCGTACACGGCTTAACACAAGATGACCGCTGCAGAACAATCGATGTGATTGGTCAATCCTCGACCTATTGATGACTGAACTTTTGGGATGCTACTTGGAGCGTGAAGCCGCAATCGCCAACCACTGTACTGTACTGTATCTCCCTGTGGCGTTTCCATTTCACAGAGACCGCCACTCAAGGCTATCAGCAAGGAAACAAGGCCACACGCCTGCAGCACCCGCTGCTTATGCTTATGCTTACGCTTACGATGCCATCGCTGCACATTGTGACTACGAGGATGATCGGCAAGGCCCTCCCGTCAACCCCTGCCTCCTAGGCGACAAACAGGGATTGTAGCATCCTTGCGAGAAGGCGACATGGAGGACCTTCATGGTGGCTGTATCCCGGTTTCGCGAAGAAGGATCCGCAATTTCGCTTAGCTATTTTAGATACCAGAAAGGTGTGATCATTTGCGGTGTTGAAAGACTCGATGAGTTATCTGCGCTGGTTTGATAAACTGCTGGCGGATCGTCAACGTTGACACCAAATACCTCCACTTCCTCAAGCGTTCACAAGCGGTAAGGTCTAACGAGGCGGACTACGTACGACGCAAAGAAACTCACATTGACAGCCATGTGCCACGCTGCAGTCTAACCACTTATGTTATGACACTGTGACGAGGGAATAAGATGCATCATCTATCATCCTATAAAATCAAGGAATTACAGGTCGATTATCCAATTTTCAATGGTACTGATAGCACCCCTAGTTGGATGATCTATGGTGCGCCACTGTGATATTAAAGGTATGTCGCGCATAGCCTCCGATAAGGCTGAGAGGTCCTTCATCCTGTCACCTCACCGCTCTTCGGCTTGTAACCCCTCAGCCGCTTTTCTTGCGATCTCGGCGATTCAAAACTGGGCGCTTTGAATATGGCCTTGCATGGAACATGGAGGATGCTGGGTCGGCGACTAGACGCTGGTCGGTACAGAGTATGCTATCCATCACAGCGGGCGTCTACGCCATGCAGCCACTTATCACAAATTCAGGGATTATACCCATGCGAGACTTGGCCCGAGAGCGTCCTTTATCTGTCTCAGACATCAACGAATTTCGTAGTACTTGCCATGTTAGGCAGTATGATGACGGCGAGAAGGCAGCCGGAAACGCCGCTTTTGTATCCTCGCCAATGAGAACAGTGAGCGCTGGTTGGGGTAGGTAGGCAGTCAATGCGGCGTAACATTAGCACAACACCTTGGCGTCGCAGGGGAAAGCCTTACTTGCAGAACAGTCTAGTTCTACGGCTACTGGGAGTACCGGCAGCACACAGACCATCCCTTGTTTTGTATTTTGTCTTACCGGTGAGCCACCCTTTGGTACATGGGGCTGACAGTATCACTAGTAAAGAACCTTGTTAATGAGCTGTAGGATATTCGCTCTTCTGACGGCTCGAGTAGCAGTATTGTGGCTTCTGATGGGCTTAGTAGTCACCCTTGAGGGAGCAAATATTCGATGACTAAGAGTCTTGACAAGAAAGTCAATGTTATGGTCATGTCGGGATTGGCGAGCAGTATCTTTGTCTCGAGGTCCGGCAACGGCTCGTATCGAGTGGCATAACAATGTGGCGATCATCACTGTCAAGCCGCGGCCCTGTACATGGCATACAGTCAGACAGAACATACTAGAGGCTGGCATAGCTCCGGAAATGCCGACCTTGGGACATGGAATAGGATTTCGAGTGCCGCGTAGGCTGGGGGTCGAACGAGCGGTGAGTTGCAGGACGATGCATGTACCGGGTCTGTGACGTGCGTTGCATGGCTGTAGGGAAGGGATGTTGCCAGGGAAATATAAACCACGTCTTCGCCTCGGCATGTCGCGTATTTCCTCGGTACGCGCTGGGCAGTCCCGGGTGTCGCGTTCCTGCGCACAGTGGCACATGCTGTTGCTGCCTTACACTGGGTTCCTATGTGGCCGTATCGTTAGCACTGGAAGACCTCGCTGTGCCAGATTAGGCTCTCATCGATGATCTTGTTGGCATCCTCTGGCCTGATGAAATCGATGGTAATAATCCATTTAGCAGAAGTCTCTAGTCAGCCAACTTATGTATCTTATCTCTGCCCAGGGGATGAACGGTTTGTTCTCCCATAGAATTCGTGCTCTGTTTTCTTCAAACTTGCGTACATCTATCGTGCTTGTGCGTATGCCGTATACCAGGACGCCGTACTTCGGGATCTACACTGTATTCCCACTGCCATTGCGGTGGGACCAGTCGTCCGCAAACTGTCGCAGCGTCTCGACCTCGCTGCTGCTAGCTGTCTTGATGCTCAAGTCTCCGCTCTTCAGCTGGTTAGATGAGACAATCTTCACGCTGGCTATGGTATCATTGTCGCTCTGCTCGATGGCACGCTGGACTTGAAGGTTCAGGTCGTTACGGTTCATTGCCCTGAGGCCCTGTATAGTAAGCGAGTCCTAATGTTCACCATGACCTCACGCTGTGTCTGCACAGAGGATGCTTTGAGAGCTTGTGTATTGTATGTACCTGCTAGTGTGACGCCTTTAGCTGCCGCTGCGGCGTAGCTCATTAGTCCATTCGCCTGTTCTTGTGGTCTTTTGTTTCTAATCTCTCGCGCCATCTCCAGCATCGCTCTGCCCACTTCCGTGGCGTCCTTGGCCGCTGCCCTCGCCTCCTCCACTATGTTGCCATTCCGTTATATATTTGCTGCTAGTTGTTGAACGAGTTCTGCTGAGGTCGAAGGAGTGCTGCGTCTTTAGGACGAATGTCAATGCGCCGCTTATGATATCGCCAACGATACCTGCTGGCAGAGGCTGCCTCCTTTGCGCTCGATTAGCGATAGTACCTCGCCGAGGAAAGCGCTGAGGTTGGTCGCGTGCTCGTCTATTGGAATCGGCCAGGTCGACCTTCAAGGCCGTCGTACGTATCGCAGTAGACAAGACGTCAACAACTGCATATGAGAACTGCGTCGATTGTCCTACGGAGTAGATACACAAGGTTATATACATAAGATATGCGTAAGCACATAACGGCAAAGGAGTGAAAGTGAAGGTTGTAGAACATTCGGCCAAGAAGCATCGGGCCGATTCCAAGAAGGGTAGTCCTGAATGGCAACAGTACGCCTGGCGCACTTTCTCAGGCTCTTTGCGCCAGCTGTCTGCTATAATCGCCGAGAGCTTCTGCTGTTTGGGCTGCGTGTACAGTGCCTCTTCGATATATGCTAAACGGTATAGCATAAACGAATTGAGAGGTCTCGCAACGTAGCCGCCTCGCAGCTCCGTCTCTCTCCGCCGGACATGTGCTGGCCGATTGACCCACTTTTGAGTGAAGATTATGGCTCTGTGAATGACGTCCGAGTAATCGCTCAGGGGCCGGTTCGAGCTCGAGCAGATGAAGCTTCTGCTTTTTCTGGCCTTGGCGGTGTTGGCTGCAGGCCGTCTGCTGGCTTGGACGCCTTTCGCTTGTCCTTGATTATCGCACTTCTGCTTGCAGCACCATGGGCCTTGCATATCGTCTTCCCGTCTCTTTCTTTTCCCGTTGGCCGTCTGCTACGGCTGACTTGTATTGAGCCCGGCTGGTTTTTCATAGTCGGAGACGACCATCTGAGCGCTGGTGGCTGCACACTCGTTCGAGGTCGCATCGACAAGGTGACTTACAATCTAGCCGGTACTTTACCATTACGATTTCTCGGCACTATGCGAGCTAGACGTGAAGCCTCATAGGATCTACCCGCCCAGAGCCGTAGGCGTTTTCGTGGTAAGCGCTCTCACTGTAAGCATAACCAGTCTAAGCATGATCAGTGTAAGCAGTTTCGCTACCTGTAGCGGAGTAAAACGATGAATCTGTTTATAGTCACTAGCGATTGCGGCTTCACCCCTGCGTGCATCTTTCCACAAGTGCAGTCATCATGAGATCGACGACTGACCAATCACATCGACGGTTTTGCAGCAAACATCTAGCGCTAAGCCATATATGGGGAGTAGGGCTGTTCAAAACCGTTGCGCAGCTGCGTGTAGGGGTGAAGCCGCAATCGCTAGCGACTGTAATTACTATACGGTGCATAGAATGACTAGCCTTGACAACACGATGGCTTCATCTGATTAGGTGATGTCACTCATCCACGCCTCTGCATTGTGGTAAGCCAATGCCCCGTCCGTAGACTAGGCTCGGCGGTATGCACCACGAGGCCGGCTCGATTCCATCAGCAAAGCAGGGGCACCTTGCACTCTCATGCAATTGCAGTTTCCGGTTCTTGCGAGCAATCGATCTTTCATCCTACGCGAAGCCTCTCTCGCCTGATGGTAATCTTAACCGAAGTGCGCTAGCTCCTGTCAGCAGTTTCTAATGTAGAGAGACAGCAGTATCTTCTAGCCAATTAGAATCAGAAGCTTACAGAGCCCAAGATGTTTTGGGCAAGCGCTCACCAGTCGAGACGATAGATCACGTGGGATGAAAACTAGACAGGATGAAAAAAGCGGAAACTGCAAATGCACGAGAGTGTATAACACAACCAGTGGACCTGCAGTCTATGCAACAAGATAATCCTCAAGATTTGCTACCTCTACAGAATGTGTTGCAGTTTGTGAGGCAAGGGTATTGCGCATGTCACGTGCGTTGTCCTGGCGCTCCTCCCTCCCCTCCATGAGCACCTTCTCTCCTCACCAGCATCAGAGATACGTCATGTAAATAGACCCTGATTATGGCTACATATAAGGTGGCCATGACAGCACAACAACAACAGAACACAATATACTCTGATGACTGCCTCGCGCGGTTACACTTTGATTGACTGCATTGTACTGCAACACAGTCAGAGTCTGGCAAAATTGCTGGAGAGATCTCTCGCAACTTAAGATCCAAGCCTGGATTGAGTGAATTCTTGTATACATTCAAAAGATAATTGAGCTACAAGGTGGCAATGAGTATATAGAGGGGAGAGACAAGCCTCGGCTAAGGCGGCAGTACTTCGGCTAGATTATTCTTGGCAGACAATACTTTTGAAAGGCACCTCTGTACAACCCTCATGATCCGATTGGTCATTTTCGGCACACAAGGAGTCCCGTCACGGAGTGATTCACGTTACAATGTTTCATTCTGCATCAGTAAGTAAAGTTCCTTGGCGGAATTGAATGGGAACCAACGTACTAGTTACCTTCTGTTTGACATTCAGTCAACGTCTCGAGAAAAACTTCACTAAGCTCAACAAGTACCAGCCTTAAACATGTTCCTGTGAGCCCCATATAGTTATTGCCGTAGGAAGCATCCGACACTAGCTACAGTACTCGCACCAGTCGGCGGCATTCGGTGTCAGTCAGCCCGCATGCGAGCGCCGGCAATATTTCCGATCTCCAAGTGACATATCCGGGTTAGCGGCTTCCCCTCAAATACCCTCACTGCGGTTGGCCGAACCTGGAGATAAGATCTCGACTTATACACGCCAAGTGCAAGAAGTTAGAGTCATGTCGCGAATCAATAGAGCAGAGGTAGCAAAGCACCACAGCAAGAATGATTGCTGGATTGTGCTGGATTCGAAGGCGTACAATGTTACCAACTTCTTGTCAGAACATCCAGGTGGTGCACCAATCATCTTGAAGAATGCAGGATCGGTGAGTGTATAGCCGTGCGTGATGGGAGAATTTTCTGATAATTTAATAGGACGCGACAGAAGAGTTTAAAAAGTATCATCCATTAAGCTATCTGGAGGACTACCTACCGAAAGAAGCCCTTCTAGGGCCCGTTGATCCAAACACATCTGGTCAGCTTCGTCAAATCAAAGACACGAATTCTAGAAAGCCGTCAAAGATCGATCCCAACTCCAATGAAATTCCTCATGTCAGTCTTTGCGTCTCCACGACCGACTTCGAACCAGTGGCAAAAACAGTTATGTCCCACAAGTCATACATCTATGCTTCTAGCTCAGCAAACACGGGTGCATCAATCAAAGCCAACATTGATGACTGGGGTCGCATCAGTTTTCGTCCACGTGTAATGCGCAATGTAGGCGAAGTAGATACGCGTCGCAAAATGTTTGGACATAGCTCACCGTATCCATTCTATATCTGCCCTATGGGAACAATGGGAACGATCCACGAAGGTGCCGAGCCAGAAATGGTACAAGGAGCAGTCCGCAAAGGGATACACACGCTTGTTAGCACAGCAAGTTCCAAGAGCAGCGAGCAAATTATGCAGAGCTATGTCGACGAACAGAGGCGGCTTGGTAATGGAAGCCCGACGCAGCTGTTTTACCAGTACTACATGCCCGTAAACAAGGATAAGGCTCTCGAACTCATCCGCATTGTAAAGCGCTGCGGATACAAGAGCCTGTGGGTGACAGTCGACGTGCCCGTTGTAGGAAAGCGCACTGCAGATCGCCGCCTTCAAGCCGAGGAGACGCTTGCAGTCAGCCTTGTTGATGAAGGTCCTAGAGACCGGGAGATTGGCGGTGACAACGCCTTTGCTCCTGCCATGGGTGGACGCCCAGTCCAAGGCCGATTGACTCCGTACATGACATGGGACGACTTGGAATGGGTCCGTAAAGAATGGGATGATCCCATCGTACTTAAGGGTATTCAATGTGCAGAAGATGCGAAACTTGCAATGGAATACGGATGCGATGGTATCTTGCTCAGCAACCATGGCGGCAGACAGTTGCACACTGCGCCTAGTGCACTCATGACGCTCCTTGAAATCCGTACCTACTGCCCAGAAGTCCTTGGCAAACTAGAGGTCTTCCTCGATGGTGGATTGAGAGATGGAAACGATGTGCTCAAAGCATTGTGCCTGGGTGCTACGGCAGTCGGCGTTGGAAGGCCGTTCCTCTATGCGCTTAGTGCCTATGGTTCGAAGGGTGTTGAGAGATGTGTTGACAGTAAGTTCAAATTTAATGCGAAACTGGGGAGAAGAATTTTGCTGAGGATTCGAACAGTACTTGCAGATGAGCTGGATACGGGAATGCGTTTGCTGGGTATCACGTCCTTGGATCAGTGTAGACCCGAGATGGTCAACGCGAGTCGCTTGTTAAATAAGATGTGGCGACCTGAGCAGTTGAATTCAAAGAGCAAGCTGTAGATATAAAACATACAGTAGCAACTTTGGATACACGCTTTGATTGCGATGTCGTGTGTTTGCGGCTATGGTTGTTTAGACTCTTGTGGTTTTGGTGGTATTTACGATACGATCAACTACGTCACTAATCAGATGCCTCACAACACGACAAGGGAATAGGGATCGGCGTAGGTGTAGTAGCGTACAGCTCCACCCACGAAGAAACCTCTTCTCAAAAGACAAACATTGGATGCTCCCAACTAGTCTACAACGGTGAACTAGAGGGGATAGCACAGGCATTTGAACACGCGGCTATAGTGGCACAAGAAGGCCAAGAGATCTACGTATACGCAGACAACCAAGCAGCAATGCATAGGCTTAACAACCTATCGGACAACCTGGGACAACAGTGGCTACTAAGATGCATCAGAGCCGCAAAGAGAATAACGACAAAGAAAGCATCTATCCACCTGCAGTGGGCCCCAGGACATAACGACGTCAAAGGCAACGAAAAAGCCGACACGCTAGCAAAGGAAGCAGCTAAAGAGAGACCAACAACATCGACCATAGCGAGCCTAGCCTACTTAGGCACAGAAATCAACAAAATACAAAAAACATATTGGAACAAGGTCTCCTCTGGTGGTATGACTACCATAGGGAACCGAGTAGAGGTATGTTAGGTCACCACGTATTGGATTGAACTACACTAAGAGCTGTTGTTCTGTCTTCTTATTATCATGATGATCTGGGGATTTACATGACAGATCATCATTCCGCGTCGGTCCTTCTGCTCGGGCTTACTTCCACGAGCCTCATCCCCGCCGACCTGGACTGAACCTTACATCTTCTCAACACTCCCCCTCAGGGCAGGTCCGGTCTAAGGACAACTCCTAATTGGTTCTTGAATTTCTC